TAAAACCATTTAAAACATTTGCTGAACACTCACTAAGCTGTGCTTGTGAGAGATACAATACACCCAGTACACAAGTGGATTTGCAGAAAAGGCTATTTTCAGGTCATTCACAGTTATTTCTTTGCAGTTTCACGGGAGGGGAGAGGAATGGCACAATGAAAAAGGAACAAGAAGTCAAGCCTGTACCTCAGCCTATTTGAAAGTGCTGTTGCCTGAGAACAGAGGGATGAGGAGCTGCTTCTTATGAGGCAAGCATGGTATCTCCCTCCCTCATTTTGTTTTAAAATTTTCTGAAAAGATCATAACCAAGTTCAGTCTGTTCTAGTGACTGGTGCAGCCCTCTGCTCTTTATGCTCTCATTCTGAAATGTATGTTGCTGCTTCCAGCATGAAGGGGGAACCACTCCAAAACACGGCCATGTAACCTGCTTGCACAGAGAGGGGGGGCCGAGACAAGAACATGACATTAATGAGAGCTTCCCTGCCACAAAGTGCCTTGGAACACAGCTCAAGCAGAGCACCAGGGAGCATACGCTGCCGCAGCAGATTTTTTCATTTATATGAATAAATTCATAGTCATTTGACTTTGAAGGAGCCTCTCACAAAACAGTGTTAAAAAAGTATGTAAAAAAAAATTTGCCAAATTTCTAAATAAGTAGGTTAAAGGAAAAAAAAAGAAGTTTTAGAAACTCATTTTCAGTGGATAATAATGAGTGAAAAGAAACAGGAAATGGGTGTAGCAAGGGGTATTTACTATAACTTAGTATTTATTTATTTTCTCTATGTTTGCTGTGTAGCAGCAGCAACTATGGCAACAGGCGTGACTATCCAACTCATAGTGCTGAGCCAAGTACTACTTTGAAACGGCAGAAAATACACTCCACACAGTATGAGAACCTCTGCTTTAAAACAGAAACTCCAAACTTCCTGGAAATATTCCAGGTCAGGCTGGACGGGGCTCTGAGCAACCTGCTCTAGTCAAAGACGTCCCTGATCATTGCAGGGGGGTTGGCCTAGGTGACCTTTAAAGGGCCCTTCCAACCCAAACTATTCTGTGATTCTATGAACTTCCAATCAAGGATTATAAACACAATAATGAGAGATTACTAATGGGTTTTCTATACTGCCAACACAACAATTTTACATACAATATGACACGTATGCAGATGCTTTTCTGGTAGTGGAGTATTTGGCTAGTGAGAGAAAATATTTCACACTTCCTCTTTTGCAAGCACGGACAAAACATTTAAAACACTTTAAAGCATTTTTCATGGAAAAATCTGTGTTTTAATTAATGCATTTAGAAAATACCTCTGTTCCACAGAAAATGTCTTTTTCTTTTTCTTTAATTTAAACATTTACAATATACAAACTGAACAGCTTTCCAAACTCAAAATTCTACCACCATGCCTACGGTTTCTTTAAAAACCAGCACTATCATTTTCTGTGCCAGAGCAGGCAACTCAGAGCATTGCAAAGATTTAGTAATTAACAAAGGTGATGGAGCAATGAAATATTATGAGCTTTACCTGGAGAGGAAGGAGCACTGGAAGACTGCTGGTCTGCGGAAAAGGATGGCCAGGAGCGCTGACAATCTGAGTCAGAGTAAAGATGGACATAAAATAAAGGGAGATGGTGGGGGGGCAGGGGTGAGGGAAAGAAAAAAGCTCTAGATAGGCAGCTGAGGAGATGCAGACATACCTAAAATATAGTACATTGTACCCGACATCTTTAAAAACAAATTAAAAGTACTGTGGAAAAGAGTTTGGATGAAACTCTTCTAGTGTGCATTACACGTCAAACCACTGCTACGGGAGGCGTTGTTCTCTCTTCAAACCCATTCTCACAACAGTGTCACCTGCTCCAAGATATTCCTCCCTACATGCCAGTCCCATTTTGAGGAAAGCTATATGTTTGCCCCATCCTTCCTGACTTTAGGGTTTCCTCAAGTGTTTTCCTTTCCAAAGTGCAGAGCCTCACACAGGCCAGACCCCTCTTGCTCTGGCTCATACCGCTCACGGTGCGGCTAGCGCCTGCTCCGACCTCAGTGCTGTCAGGAGGACAGACCGGTACTGCTACCCGTGTTTGCAGCTGCCCAACACAAAAAGCATTTCAAGCTGCCCACTTCAGCCACTGAAGCCAAGTGCCTGCCTCAAGCTGAATTTCTTGGGCAAAAGTTTCAGGCAAGCCAACGATGAGACTCAGCAAAACAAAGTTTATGCTATGTTTAGTTCTTCTGAATGCCTTTTAAGAACTATTTCACTAAAAAATGCCTGTGGATTCACACTGGGAGAGCACGATATTTTTCAGAAGTGTTGCCTTCTACACAAAGAGGAAAAACTCTCAAAATACAAATGTATTTGAGTTAAAAAAAAATCTGAAAAACCCTTCATTTTGCAAGTGTTCTATCAGTGCTGGCAGACTCCAGCCACAGCTCTTGGGTCTTTGCTGAACTGGTGATGTCAGGAAAAAGGAGAAGGGGAGAAAAGGAGGTGGAAATCTCTGGTTGCACAAGGATACTTGCAGAGAAGCCAGATGGGGGATCCAGGGGTGTGAAGACTTAAATGTAAGTGAGCAGCCCAAAGAGAGAACCAAATTCTATTGAATATGAGAAAGCAGCATATGGATACATGACTAGAGGCTTTCAGAGGACCAAATTTAAGCCGAATGACCATCCTTTATTCCTGTACTTTCTAATTTCTTGTTTCTGAGCTTTTGACTTGGCAGCTTCATCTTTCTATGTAGGTAGTCTTATTCACAGTAAGTACAAATACGCTCTCTCCTCTGAATTTGTTTGAGTCACTGTGAGAACTGAGTTAGGCAATCTCTTGGGTCCACCAAGCTCATTCTGCCTGGCTAGGAAATAGAACCCGAACCTATGGTGGCTGGCAAAGCTCCTCTGATATTTCCCCGAGATGAAGGAATTTCTTGTTCATGTAAAACGGGTGACTTCATGGCTCTTGCTGCTCTCCTGAGCTTGTTCCACCATGCTCACCCCTGACAGAGATGCACCATTTGGAACACAGAAGAAAAGTGGAAAACAGAAAATGGGCAAATCAAAAATTGGTCAAGGGGAGTTAAGGAAATTCAGTTTGGTTTCTGATATTTTACCACCTTAATTGCACCAGTGTTCCATGTGGGTTCAGAGAAGTAACTGAACCTTATACTTTCAAAGAATTTAATCCAAGCTTGAGCATCCTTGCACTTGTTCACTGAAAAGAAGCTTCTATTGTCTTTAGTGGATGCAGAGTAGACAACTTACAGGTGACTCACAGCATTCTCACTAAATCACAGAGATTTTTTACCCAGACCTAGCTCTAACCCTAAAGCCTTTGGGGAACTCCCAATTGTTAAAAAAGTGCCTAAGCAAGCACATTAGAAACATCACAGGACTATATGGCTGCTTAAGTGATCACAGAATCCAGACAAACAGTAAAATACATTATTTAATTTATGGGTCCCCATCTGTTCCCAAATACCTACACGGCATTTTTACAGGAACAGACGCATGTACTTCAGAATGCACAATATTGGAGATCAAATGCAGAAATTTTTCTTCCATCCCAATCTATTTGTTTATAAATTAATTCTCAGGTATGTGCTCAGATAACTACTGGATGAATTACACTTTATTTATATGTAGATTATCTTTTTCTACTGGTTACATATACATGAGCATTTTTTCTCAATTCTTAAAAAAAACAGAGATCGTCTACTTATACGAGTTCTCACTTTTCTCTTTGTAGTGAAAATGGGGGTGCAATTGTGATTACAAGTGTGAGAAAGTACATTCTTCTCTGTCTAGATCTCCTTGGCTGCAAAAGATTTCTTGGAAACTATATGGCACTAGATACGAAAAGCACTGCAAACATTACATTGTCAGCTGGCATGCCAGAAATAGAATTATTTTCTCAACTTACCAAGCAATTTTAACATTCCTGTTTGTCCTGTATACTTGTAACAGTTTAGAGAGCAGAACACAGATAAAGAAGAAAAAAAGATAAGTGTCAGAAGAAATTAGAGAAAATCCTTTTCTTGAAAGCTACAGAGCTGATTTTTGAAGTGGCAGTAGTAGGCTGCCTGCAAATCATACTGTCCTTTAATCAACTTAGAAACTTAGTGATAAAAGGTGGGACTTTACAAATCTAAGCATTTGTACAGTACATTCATTGTGTTGTTTTGAAGAAAGGTATCCGTACTCAAAGCCTGAAACACAGACTGAACTTAGTACTTGTCCACTTTTTAACAGCTATGTAATTTCTATCACCAGATGCGATTCACAATCATTCCTTAACAGAGACCAAAAAAGAGTGGAAAAGCGTGGATTTTACAGAACAAGAGAAAATAGAAGCGTACCAAAAAAGTACATGGAAGGTGAGACTTTCTGCTTGAATTAAAGTATACTTGGTGCCAGCCCACCAATTGCTAAATTAATCAGGTCAGCCAAATTTTTGAGGGGAAAAAACATGAGTACTTAAGGTATCTATAATCAATAAAACACACTTTAAAAATTAAACCTCATTCTTGCTGCCAAAATTTGAGCAATACACATTAAAAGCTTCTAATAAAAGGACATTTGTAAAAAAGCCACATTGTAAATTCAGTTATTTTGGAAGTTCATTATAGCTAAAGCAACTATAACTAAGCAATCAATTATAAGGTGACTATCAAAGTCCTTCTTTTTCCTCATACTCCACCATTTTGTACAGTGACAGTTAATACAGATGGATCCACATGTCTCTCAAGCACTCCTGCTTTCAAAATTTGATTCACAGCCTGCTCCACTGAGCAGATGGCAGAAACACATGATGGTTTCATGTAGCAGACTGTTCAGTGGAGCCAAGATGTGTCAATCCTTTTTGGTTGAGGTACAAGCACAATAGTAACACATCCTGGGTAATTTCACATGGAAAAGCTGACAGGTAATCCCTGTAGTTTCAATCACTTGCAGAACTGGAGAATGTATGCACCAGCCTCAGAGACAGTAGCTCTTCTGGCAGGCAGAAGCGACAAATAATCTTAGTTTGTCTGCAGTGGAGCAGTAGCTCATTAAAGGAATGGTTGAATCTCATCCAGACAAGGCTGCAACCACAGTCAAAAAGCACAGTATTCTTGCTTTAGAATGACAAGAGCTTGTACTGTCCTCATCCTCTCTCCTACAGATACTAAAGAGGACCTGTGTGCAAATCACTAACAGAAGCCATTGCAGTTACTGGTATTTTATAATGGAATTTCTTACCAGAATTTTCGTATGCTTCAAAACTGAAATCAGGTTTCCTGTCCTCTGTCACGTGGTCATAAGTGATGTGTGGAACAGTTAACATCCTGTCTGGAGAAGAAGGCCCATTGTCCTTGTCTAACTTAAATTTCTTCTTTTTCACCTAAAAATACACATACATTATCTTATTCAAACCAAGCCACGTTTAGTTGTCTCTTCAGTACTGTCTTCAATAATAATAACAACAACGCAGTCCCCAATAAGCTATAACCCATCAGAAGAGCGCCTGACCAATTGCATTTTCATGATGCTACACTGTACATTTCTCAGTAAGATTGCCCCCCATCTGGCCAAAACTGGCTATCACTAGAATTCTGCATGTTGTCATTAACAAATCCCTTGCCTGCAGTACAAAATCTGCTAGCTCTGCGACAGTTTATATAAATCAAACTGTTCTCGAATATCTTTACCATTTTATGGCTGCAACAAATCATATCTTCAGAAAAAGCAAATTGATATATTGCTACTGAACTCAAGTGAACCTGGGATACTAGGGAAGATTTTTGCACAACATCTTCTCTTTGCAGCTTGAGACTACTGTGCAATACTCTTACAACAGACAGGATGAAGTATTACACAATCTAAAGATTCTGTCAAAGGGTTTTCATTGCTGTTTTTTAAACGAAAAAAATTCTTAACTTATGGAATCAGTTGATATGAAAATACCACCATATGTAGGCACAAGATGTCTTCACCACAGAAGCTTAGAAATCCACAAAATTAATAGCTGAGAGAAGCAGCAGGTTTTTTTCTTTTTTTTCTTTTTTAAAAAACACAGCAAAACAATTACAAGTTAACTGTTTTGGAAAAAGTAATTTTCTTTTTTTCCTTTGCTTATAGTTTTCCAAACAACAATAGTTACTGATTGATGTCCCTGACTTAGGTCATTATTGCTCTTTTCCAAACCCATAGATCCATTAAAAAAAGTCAAGCTTGGGAAGTGAAGCAAATTAAGTTACAGTTTTAAATGTCTGTATACTGAAAATCTCAAATTAAAATGCAAATAAAACTTTGAAACTAAGTAATAATCAGTAAAACGAACACAACAAATAGTCTCTACAGAGTAAATAAATTCAATCTGATGTTAAAATTTTAAAATTACTGTCATAGCAAGTGTTAGTTACTGGTACCATCACTGATTTCTTCGGTTTTGGACTGGGCGACAGCAAATGATAATTTCTTGCAGGTTTTCGAATGTATATTTTCCACGTAGAAGAGTCTGGGTTTTCTGCTGCATAGCATCTCCATGCAGTCTAGAACACATGTTGTAAGCAACAGAACAATCAATGCAATCGGATTTGTAGCTATCTGTACTACAAAGTAACTTCCAAGTAGCACACTAGTGATTCTTTACTTAACAGTATTCTTGAATTTCCCCACTGGAAACAAACTCGGCACGGTTTAGAATCCTTATTTAGTAAACAGAAACCACACAGTTTGAACTGGGCAAACCAGAAAGGAAGATCAGTCTTTTCAAGTACAACTTTTGTTCCACTAGCAACAAACAAATAATAAAAGAGAATTCTAGACTGGACTCAGAAGATTGGGGTTGAATTTCTTGCCCTGCCTCAGTTTCCTTCTCTGAGAATTTTGCATCTTGTTTCAGGCTCCTACTCAGAAAACAAAAACCCTGCCTCATAAGAGGACTATCAGAAAAAAACCCAATTGTGATGTGGTCACTAGGGCTATATTCATACGAAGAACTAAGAGTGAGAGCATGAGGGACAGCACCAGCAGTTAACGGGGAGCCAAAACCAATCCTCCCTCCTGCCAACCACCAATGACTAAACTACTATGTTCTAAGACAAAAAGGAAGAAAAGCAGGGCTAGGAAACAAGCCCAACCAGAGAAAAAACATTACTGCATTCTCCCTTACATGTGTAAATACATCAGAGTTGATTAATAATTAGTCTCCAAATTAAAAAGGCAGATGCTCACTTATACACTGCGTGAAAAAAGGACACTCATATACACACGCAAAATCTAAAGTGGGAAAGGCCAGAAAACACTCAACAAAGGAAACAAAGCAAGGCAGAATGAGAGAAGAAAACAGACAGCAGTTGGAAAGGAAAGGATCACACAATCACAGTTAATAGGACGGTTAACCACGGTTAACAGGATATTCGAAGAAATAATTGGCCTCTAAAAGAAAACAAGAAGGAATATAGGAAAAAAAGTGACACTCATTTCAGCTGTTGTCTTGTCTCGTACTTATTTCATAAACTTCTTGGTTTAAGAATAATCTTGTGTAAGTTATTTGTAGAGCACTTATTAAATTGGGCCTTTAGAAGTCTGAGACTACTAGTAAATCATAATTAACACTATTAAGAACAGGTAGTCAGTAACTCATTATCTATCCTCCACTCCTCCTCAACATTTCAGAGGGAGACAAGTACAACATTCCAGGCACGCAGTCTCAGGCTTTCCAATAATTTGGGGTTGATTTCCCAAAAGAATCAGTAGGAACACTAAAAATCCATTCTTTCCAAAACCATACCTTTTTCTGACCATGCAATCCACATGAAACACACTAAGTCTGAAGATTTTTGGCTAATCTCTGGCTATAACCAGAGCCCTAAATTTAAACCTTTTTCACATTAACTCTGGGACTGTTTAGCTTCAAGCATAAACTTTACAGCTAGCTACCGTTTCCATAAAGAGCCTGACCTGGAAATCCACATTCACTCATGAAGCTAAAGAAATAAGTCATATGAGAACGCAAAAATGATACAGCTTAAGTGTACATCTAGACTCCTTTTAAATTTGATCCCTCTGCTTCTAAAGCTACATGCAGATACTGAGAGAGGGAGGAAAAGCTAGAAAAACGTAGAAGGAAACAATATTAATACTTCTTCAGGGTGAAATGCTGGCTCCACTGAAGTAAAGGATAAAATCTCATTGACTTTACTAACACTGAACTGCAACTGTATTTTTAACAGAGAGGATCAAAATTTTTCTGCCTGTGTTACCCTACAGGAAAAGACTGATTTTACAGAATCCCGGTGGTTCCCAGCCACCTACCCTAGACCTGAAAAGTTCAGACAAGATTTTCCTATTTAACTTTCTGACTTAATTCTCCTAAATTTGAGGTTTTTAAGAATTTATTTGTTCCAAGGAAAACAAAGCAGTTATTCTACCACCCGGTGACCCCTCTCCAGTTGAGAGGGGGAATCAGGAAAAAGAGAAGAGAGACAAAGGTTGAAGCAAGGACAGATTTAATGAAACAGCAAAAGAAATAAAGCATACAAAGTCATACTGGGCCTAGAACATCTGGCCCTCACAGCCCTCAGGAGCAGAAGAAGGAGGAAAGAGGAGGAACCTGAGCAGGAACCTCAGTCAGAACTGCAGCCAGAACCCCCCTTCCTCAGCAAACCTTCTCCCTTTATAATGACCTGACATTATGGGATGGGCTACACCTGCAGCTCACTCAGGGCAGCTGCCCTGGCTCGTGGCTGACTCTGAACTGCTAACGGCCTGCCCAGCATAGCTGGGCTGGGATTCTGTCCCAGCCAAACCAGGACATCTTTACAAGCAACAATGTATTTTTTAAAAGTAAAACTTTACATGAAGCCTCCTCTCTGTTTTTCACTACTGCAGGCATAGTATTTCATAAAATTTTCCCCAGGTCAGTTGTTCAATAACTACAGGATAGCCTTCAGCTTTGATTTTAACCAGCTGAATTAAACAGTTTGCACTGATTTGGGAGTGAACTTTCCTGCTCATTAGTTTGCATTAAAGCTGGGATTTACAAAAGCATTTAAAAGCATCTGTAGCTCCTATACAATTTTTAATGGGAGTCAGGCATGAAAATACTGCCAACAGTTTTGAAAAAACTACTATAAATGGAAAGAAATGACAGTAGGGAAAATGCAGGAACTCAATACCTGTATGAGAGAGGCAGCAGCTGGAATTTGACGGTTGAAATGCTTCTGTCTTTGTTTCTGTTGTACCTTTAGGGCAAAGCCTGAACCAAGAATTCCCTGTGGGAAGAAAGAAAACAGAGATTTTTTTTTTTTTTTTTTAAGGGGTAAAACCCCCGCACATAGGCTTGCCAAATTATGTTGTATTAATAAACTTCCATTCAGCATCATAAAACTCAACTAATTATTTGGAGGAAATGACTTAATACTGTTAAGTTTTTAGACTCAGTTAGTACTACTTGTTGAAAGAAACTATGAATGCTATCGTGCCCTGATCTAAAGCCTACTTAAGTCAGCTAGACTCAAACAGTAAAGAGCAAGCAGAACTGATATTTCATACCCACTAAAAGCCTCACAAATGCTTGTGCAGGGGAACGACAGAATAGGGAGAAATATTAACCTGATGCTTAACTTCATTTTTATAAGAAATAAAGCTTTGGCACAGCATGATTCAGGTCGCAAGAAAGGCCTTTTAACTGTAGTCTGGTAATTTCTGTTTCCATATGTTCACCCACGCTAGGAGGGGAGGACAAAGAGGAGGAAAAGGAATCTTATAAAATGGTCAGGACTTCGGTGCGTTCAACACAAAGCCATCTAATCCACTCTCAGGACAAGGGACATGGACTACTGGCACTGGACGACATACATAGCCTCCAAATGTAGTGTAACTGTTAAGTCCAAAATTAAGTATAGAGCAAGTCATTTACGCAGTCATTTGCATAGCTATAGATGTACTGAACAGAGGTTTTAGTAACACAGATAAAAATGAGATCTTCTAGAAATCAGCTTACTTGATCACACATATTCAACAAAAGCATAATTCATTTTCTGCATATGGTAGTCAAGGTGTCAGAGCAGCCAGCGATCTTGGCTCAGCCTCTAAGAACTGTATTAATCACCCAGTGTTTTGAAAGGAACAGGAAAGGCCCTTCCTATTATGTTCATTTAGTAAAGATCAAAGAGCTAATGATGCTCAGACATCACTTATTTGGGAAATGAAAGATTGTTGCTAGATCCAGAACACGTACCAGTTGTGTTTAGCCACAACAATTACTTTTGACTGTGATCTCAACCAGCTCCCCTTATTTAAAACAGCAACAAGGCAGCATGCAATAGTTACTACTATCAGCTATTTACTGCTGAAGCTTTAAACTCTAAATTTCCCCCTTGGGCCAACTCACAAGAACAACCTAATTCAGTAATAAAAATCACACTGATAAAGGAGTGTTTGTTGTTGTTTTACTTCCACAAACGACTAGGGGAATCTGACAGGTAAGAATAAAAGCACTGCTGTGAAGGTGGGGCTGCTACATTATTTATAAAAGATCTTTGCTGGCATTCAAGACTGAGGAAAAAAACCCACAACTCTTCAGTGAAAATAGTAGCTTTTGGCATTTTTCTTACAGATGATTTCATTTACCAGATCTCTCTTCCAAACAGGCAATAAATGTGAAAGGGATTAGAATGAGGAGGGGGGAAGAATATGCTTTAAAGGCAAACTGATGCTGGAGAGTCTAAAACCCTACACTTAATCATCCTCCTCTGCAAAAGCTTGCGTACCTTTAAAGTAAGAAATTATTTTTAAAAAGTCATTAGAGATCTAATAGTTACTATTTCATGTTGTGAAGAATGTTTGTGATGGTACAGGCATAAAAGTATTCTTTTCATCCATCCTGTACTTATCCTCATCACTTCCCTGCCACAACTACACTAACATCTGCTAACACAACTGTTTGTGTCACTGAACTGAAAAACCTGCCGAAAAATAAACATTTTAGCAGCACATTTCATGTCGCACAAACATTTTAACAGCACAATTCAGCGGTATTACTAAATTTCTGAAAAAAAAATACCCTTAACTACCCTTGACACTGAACATTTTGGGGTTTCAAACCACAGTCCAGGTTTCGCTGATTTTGAATTTACCCTTAGTACTCAAGTGCCTTGTTTCTTGTTAGAAAGTACTTGGGAACCTGGTTTCCAGGTCGCAAACAAAGTGGTATAGTACCTTTAAAAGTTCAGCCCTAGGTCACTTCCGAAAAATGGGACTTTGGCCACGGACAGAGGCTAATTTAGCAAAACACTGCATCGGTGTTCCTGGCGACTTATTGTTGTCTTTCTGCCAGCGACACCTCTTCGGCAGCTCGTGTATGAGAACTCTACAGTTCACCCTGGACCTAATCAGTTGAGTGAATGCCTTAAAAAGCCAAAACATCAGTAAGTCACTGAGTCCAGAAGTAATTAGCATGAGAAATAGTTTGCCCTACACTTCTGAGATGGGCAGAAGAAATATTCTGAATTAAACATCTCTCTCTCAAATACACACCAAATCCAGTGTTGCATACAATAAACACTACATATTTACTTTTTTTTTTAGCTACTTATAGAAGCTCTTTTGCTTCTACAAGCTACGTATATTTTAACTATGATATAAAAGTTTAGTACAAAGCTTTCATAACATCAAAAGTGCAAGATCACCTACCGCAGGTAGTGCAAAAAATGAAATTGCAAATACTGAAAAACAAGATGCAATGGTCTTTCCTATCCAGGTCTGAGGCACTTTATCTCCATAGCCGATAGTTGTAACAGTGACCTATAAAGAGAAACAGAGAGCGCATTACAGCAAGTATTAATGTGGCGGGTGTCGGTTGTTCTTCCTTTTTTAATTTTAAAGAAACATTAGTTGCAGTCCTGACTCTCCCAATAACAGTCTGTGTGACATTAATGAGGGTTACTCTGTCAGCTCTCTCCAGGTTTGCTTCCCCATCTATAATAGACAGAAAAAGTTACAGGAAACTGAATTAGAAGAAGATACACGTTTTAAATCTTGTAAAGTAAAACCATTAATTTAAGTCTTCGTGGCTGAGGCAACTTCACAGCATATGAAGTTACTGGGATACGGGTTGCCTGCCCGTGTCATACACTTTCCTTAGAGGGAGGCTGCCAACAGTTCTGAATTGCTGATTTTCTTTATGGGCAGGAGATGTTTGCCGAGAGTATTACCAGGCTGTTGCATAGGAAGAGCATATACATACAGTAACCATGGACTACGACTGGGGTCAGACATCAAGTATTCTAGAGAATAATATGGATATAAATAGCAAGAGAAGTTGAAAATTTTCCATGCAGTAAAGATCCTGAAAAGACAGTCTAACAAATCGCTAATTCATCTAATACATCAAGAGCAAGAACAGATAATTTAATGCACACATGCAGGAAACATCTGTTGAGTTTGGGTTTCAAAACACTGAAGTAAAGATTACCACCAGAGTGATGTAGCATACTAAGGCTTAATAAGTCATTATTTGCACGAACTCAAGGAAAGACTGGATTTGTTTGAAGCAGAAGGATACATTCAGCATCTGAGAGCAATTTAAATTCACCTATGTCACAAGCTATTTCTGAATTTGGAAGTTAGATTTTTATCTGTGACTTTGAAGAAGGCCAACCACATCAGCGCATGCGAAACCACATGAAGCTCTCAGGCAGCTGAAGCACACTTCCATCTCTGGCTGTTCAGATTTTCTTCTGACACTACGGGTTTCAGCTGCCCAGGGTGTTAGTCCCAGACAATAACACACACAGGCCATCCCCACCTTGTCCTGCAGTTGCTCCTAGCTCGCCTGCCTGCTGTAATGCACACTTCCCAGCAACTGCAGACAGGCAGGCAATGCCCAGGGCAGCATCTTGAGCAGAGGAGAGATGGGAAGGGCAGATTTACAGAGGCATATAGAGGAGAAGGGATGGAGAACTTGGGTTTGGGGAAATAAAAGGTCATGACAAGTGCTTCAGGAAAAAATTGCCCATTCCTACTAAAAGCTGAGACACCAGAGGGAAATCCTGTGGTCTGAGCTGCACCTCAGAAACACACAAAGCAAGCCATCCCTACTCAAACTGTCCACCTTCTAAGGAACATCATTATGTGTCTGCTAAACGCAGAACAAAGGGACAGCTCTAGCAGCTTGAAGTGACGATATTAAAAGTTTATTCCAAGTTGCCAACACTCAAAATGTTCAAATATTAGTATTTAATTTTTAATACAATTTTTTTAATCTGGCTTATTTCCAAAACTGCTTCATATCCTACAAAAGTTTTTTTAAGAATTAGTATTTTAAGATAACCTAATTTTAAGATTTACTAAGATGAATTAAGTACCCAAGTACCTTTGCCTTTACTCCTAAAATTGTTGTTGAAATACCACCTTAATTCAGGGCCTGATGAGGAACTGAAGGGATGACATTATCTCCTTACCTACGTGAGAGGGTCAGTTAAAAAAAAAATTAAAAATCTTAAATTCTAATTACAATTTCCTGTTCTAAAATATGATATAAAAAAGGAAATATAATTATGGGAAAAGTGATGGCCTCCAATACCTTCTTACATAAAAGATTATGAGAGAAGACAGTGGTTTATGTCTTAGTTGTCGAAAAGATTCAATAACAAGGATTTGTGAAAAGTTCTATCAACTATTCTGTGTTACAATCTTAACATGTTGAAATATATACAGCAACTAAAAAGGTGAAAAGAAATAGGTGCTTTTGAGCTGACTGAAGCATAACTGAAGAAAAATTCATATACCACTAAGAAGCATTTTTCCCCCCTTTCTCATCACCCCCCCACCCATCCCTTCTGAACTGGTCTATATGAAGCATCAGTGACACAAGAAAAGTATTTTCTGTGCTGTTTGTTTAGGAGGTTTTTTAAAAAAGATTTTAGAAAATGGGTTGCAAATCAAAGTGCGTGTTTAAGTTACCATTTCCCTCTGCCCTCATAACTCTAATCCATCTGCAAATGCATTGTATTCTAAAATTACATTTTCTTTTTTCCCTGAGATATATGCTGTTGAAACCTTACATGCCAAGTTTCTGCCCTAAATGAATTTTTACAGCCAGATTATAACCCCCTAAAGAGTACGATACTAATTTTACAGTTGTAAAATAAGATCTTATAATGGAAATACTGACTCAACTTCTACTCTAGCATAGTAAATATGTTGGCATAATGAAATTAAATTGATACAAGAGCTCACACATTAAGTTTTCATTGAAAAGCAGCATGTAAAACTAATTGTTTTAATTAGGAACAAAATCATATTCATCCATTGACTATTTCAGAACTTTGATCTGATGTACATCACCACAGGCTTTGGTATTAAGACTAATCTTGTTCCTATTAAATATGCATCAATAGTCTGGAGAAGCAAATACAAAGCAAAAATCCACCCAGCAAGAAGAAATAGTAAATTCGTCAGCACTGACTGGTGAAGGGATTTTATTCAGGGCTATCACGCTAAAGTGAGCACAGCAAACTAATCAGGTGAGTAACAACGCTCTGTTGGCGAAATCCTTGCTGTGTGCCATGCAAAAATTGGGATAAACAGCTACAAACTACAAGAACACATGCTTCAGGGGTATTAAAAGGCAGACGTTACAGGACTGAGGGAGCAAACACAAGCTAAAAGATTTAAAGAGCCAAGCACTAAAGCAAATGAGAGAAAGTCACCTTACAGAAAATACCTTAACTACTTTGTTTCTAAATTTGCAGCACTGCAACTTCAAAAATCAACGGCACCAGGTATTGTTTGGCATACCAAATACCACTTGGAATTTTCTGACCCACTTGCAATACCCATCGTGATTAAATCAAGTAATACAAGAACACATCTAGTGATATACCAGAAACATCAACCAGTTCCCTGACTTCTTTGCACTTGCAGTGTAGTAAACTGAAAAACGTTTTGAATGGTCTCCTGTATGCTAAAGTGTAATGAACACCTTAGAAGCCTTTCTACTGCTTGACATCACGTTCAGTCAGCTGCATTCATGCAAGTTGAATATAAGGTAGACTCTTACCATGCTGCTGAAATACATGCAGCACAAGTGCAAACAGATTAGAGCCTCATGCTTTTATTTTACTGTGAAGTATGCAATCTGTATAAAGCTAAAAAAACCCCTAGCAATCTTCCGATATTTCGAATTCTTTTCTAAATGACAATATTTTTCTTCCTTGCGCATGTAAGGATGTTAGCAATAAGAACAGATCCACACCACAGAAATTCCACTTCCTGTGCCCAATCGCCATGTCACCTCTGTGTACATTGCAGCACTCGGAGAAGATTCAAGTTGCATCCTTCAGATGGAAAAGTTAAGAGACTACGTTCTACAGGACAAACGTTTTGAAACATTGGAATTAAAATTGTATTTCAAAGCTGATGAAAGGCCTCTTCCTAGTCACTACTATCACAAACATTTAAAAGGCACGTTTGGATTCTTTTTCTCAAAATTCAGTCTCTTCATACAGTTACCATGGCAGACTCACACCATCATTCTTGATGCACTTCAAGTACATAACTGAGACACAACCACATCTGAAGGACACTGAAACACTCCTAATGACTTAGGATACGAAATTAAATGGAACTACACGTCCAATTACTAACACAACAAACAATATACTAACTTCAATGTCATGTCTCTCAAATAGTAGAGCCTCAGTGCTGCCTAGCCAGTGCTCTTGGGTCTCAGTTTAATACCTCCTCAAAGCATCTTTTGCAGCCATCAATCAGTTCTGACCAAATTACTGGACACTCTAAACCTCCTAATCAAATGGTGGCCCAAATTAAACCTCTCCACTTGTGAGATCTCAGAGATAAAACTACAAGACTCTTAAAAAAAACACTGACTAAAATTAAGTTGGAGCATTGAGCTCCCCTTTTTTTTTTTTTTTTTTACAAAGTCTGTTCTGCGCAACGAAAAAAGGAACTACAGCAGCTTTAACTAAGTCAGTAAGAATAGAAGGGTTGAAGGGACTTTCTGGTTGCTGTTCCTAGATTCTGGCTAGTTCAAGTCAGCCACATTATGTCATCTCATTCACTGGCTCTTGAAAAAGCATCTCCATCTGAAAACGAATTGGCTTTCCTCTCACTGTTCCTGTTGGGACGTTATTCCAGAACCTCATGTTTTTGATGGTACCAGACATTCTTGTAGGCTCCTGTCTTCATTTCTGAAAGATGGGTTTCCAGCCTTGTTTTTCTGTTCCACTGTTTCATGGTCTTGGTTCATCCCCCTCCCCTCTTCTGTTGCCTCACTCCTGCAGAACACACACCTACACACAGCACACTCCAAAGGCTGCTGAATCTCTTTCTCAGTGTGTCTAGCTTCACAAATAAAAGCTGTTTTCACTTGGTCTTGTAAAATAGTCTGTTCATCCCCTGGATCATCCTGGCAGTAGTTCTCAAGCATGACAAGATACAGGACAAACTTGCATAAAAATCATAAAAATAGGAAGAACTGGTCAGTATTAATGAAGGTCTAGGCAAAGTGTCAGGCTTCATCTGATCTTCCCCTCGCACCTTTCCCCCTACAAGCCCTCCTATCAAGATACAAAGGTAACTGAACTAGGAAAATGTAGTCTGGCAAAGACTTACAACCTCCTAGGAAGACGGTTATTTCATCTTTTTTCATTTAATCATTATGATGATCATTTTTACTTGGAGCGAACAGACAATTTTAGATTTGAACTCAGTAGTTACACATGCACACAAGCAATAAAACTCATAGGAGATCCAGCAGCTTTGTATCCCAGCCTGATAAC